CCAACTCCACATCACCATCACTACCTACCCTTTCACCTACCAAATATTTCTCTATCCTCTGTCATCTGTCCACTTAGTACCGTTGTGTCTACAGTCTATCAAGTACCTATGTACGAACATTTTCTCTCTTTCTTTCCTTCCTCCCTCCCTCCCTCCCTCCCTCCCTCCCTCCCCACCCTTCCAGTCAGACTTCTCTGCCCTTCTTTTTAAATACTCACCACCACCCACGCGGACGTTACACTGACAGAAAGTTTCTAGTTCCAGCTCTCCGCTGAGTTGCCATTTCTGTGCTAACCAGCCTTCTCCTCTGAGCTGGGCAGCCAGAGCGAGGAGGGGGAGGGGAGGCCAGAGCCGTGGGAGTTCTCCAGGCAAACTTTCCACCCAAGTTAGCGCCTTCCCTCTGTCCCCATTTCCCATCTGTTTCCTGGCTCTCCCAGAATCACCTTTCTCTTTTGCCACCCCCTCCCTCAGGCCTTTTTAAGGGATGTGGAATTTAGGCTGCTCCTTCTGCTTTCCCAAAGAGCCAAATTCTTTGATGCAATCGGAGGGAGCTGTCAGGGGGCTAAGATTGATCGCCTCATCTCCTCTCCGTCCCTCTGACCCACTTATTTAAAAATCTTCCCCCAGATCGACTGTTCATTTTCAGCTTTGGGGCCTAGTCTCCCACCCAATTGCTGTGACTGAGTTTTGCATTTTCTCCCTCTAGTAAATTACAGCTCTCTGAAGTTGAGACTTTATCTTAGTCTCCTCACAATAAAAGAAATTAGAATTGTTTTCCCTGGGGGCCATAAATGGAATATAATCTCAATTGCCATTATTTCTACTTCCTCCATCTTTAGAGAATTCTTTCTTACCAGGGATTAAAAAACAATAAGGCAAAAGCAAATATGAGGGAAAGTCTCTTTGTGCTAAGGAGAGAGATTACCCCCTACAATGCATTGAGGAGCTTTCAAAGTTAAATTGATGGCTTCCGTGGTGCCCATGGATACAGATTCAACTTGAGGGAAGAGTAGGTTCATTTACCAGGTTAGACCCTCCTGTTGTCAGTGTTGGGGTGTCACAGGAATGTGAATGACCCCATTAGGCAGGCAGGTAGACATAAGGAACTGTAAATACTGGGCTGAGAACATAGCTTGGGAGGGGGAGGCCAGTGCCCCAAAGTGTCCCAGACATCTATCTCGCCTCTGGGCCAGCCTGGGGGAGGCATGTGCTGGTTCATTTCTAAAGGTTGAACAACCTTTAGGGAGTGGGGTGGGGTGGGATGGTGGTAATGCCATTTATAAATCTCATCCTTTCCTATTGACACCTAAGCACCGACCTTGCCCCAAACAGCAGGAGCTTTTTATCTACTCATGCTTCCTCCCAGTTGAGCTCTCTTTTTTTTTTGGGGCGGGGGGAGATGGAGAATGGATGCTGCTGACCCCATAAAGAAAGCATATTAATTTACTCTATTAAAATCTTTAGAAAGAAGGTATTTATCTCTGCAATTTTGTTGTTTCCAAGGCTCCCACAGCCACCCAGCCTCCGAAGTGGAGCAGGAGGTTCCTCTAGCTTTTCTAGAGAAAGAGGGCTATGGGGAAGAGTGTGAGGCACTGGTGTAGGAATGGACGGGTGAGGCTTGTGGTATCCAGGCCGTGGTTCTCTGGAGTTTTTGAATCAATTAAAGCAAATAATGCTCTGTGTTTTCCACCAGGCCCAGACAAGCGATTGGCGGAGGCCGGTCCCGTGACCATGAATTCCCTGCAATTTCGCTGGAGTCCTGGGTTTAATAGAGAGAGTCCCCATACGCTTGTATTTATCAGCAATATACAATTATAAAGACCTAAATTTTTTAAAAAAGCGAAATTCGCCCCTCCCCCGCAAAATCGCTCCATTCCATAAACCTGGGGGGGGCAGGAGGGGGGGTCCCTTCCGATCCTCCCTCCTGACGCCCCCCCCAGAAGGCCCCCTCCCCCACCATTGAAAGCCATGAATTTTGAATTTGAGAGGGAGATTGGGTTTATAAACAGCCAGCCATCGCTCGCCGAGTGTCTGACTTCCTTCCCCGCTGTCTTGGAGACATTTCAAACTTCATCAATCAAGGAGTCGACATTAATTCCTCCTCCTACTTTGGAGCAAACCTTCCCCAGCCTCCGACCCGGCGCCTCCACCCTTCAGAGACCCGGGAGCCAAAAGCAAGCCGAAGATGGGCCTGCACTGCTGCTGCCGCCGCCGCTCCCCGCCGCTCCCCCAGCCCCCGAGTTCCCCTGGATGAAAGAGAAGAAATCCTTCAAGAAACCCAGCCAATCTGCCACCTCGCCTTCTCCGGCCGCCTCCTCGGTCCGGGCCTCCGGGGTCGGATCACCTTCAGGTGGGTAAACGTGGTAGGGGCGGGGTGAGGAGCGGCTGGAAGAGAAGGGGAGAAAGTGCGGTGGTGCTGAGCCTGTTGGGGTTCCTTGGGTGGGTGGATTCCGCCGATTGGGAAGCGGAATATCCAGCTGGCGTTCAGGCCTAGCCGCTGCCAGCATTTTTCTTCTTACAGCAGATTTTGGGGGGGGGGGGAAAAATTTTTTTTTTTTTTTTTTTTTTTTTTTTTCCTATGCTAGAAGAAAAGAATTGCATTAATGTGTTCCCCCTCCCCCTATCTATGTAGATGAATAAGTATCCCGGCTGGGATTGAATCTGGGGACAGTAAAAGATGCCATCCTTTCCTTTTCCAACCCAGAAAGGGAGGGGGGCGGGGATTCAAGAGCTAGGAAGAAAAAGAGGGTGAAGAGAACAATCCCTTCTGCTCCCTCTCCCCGGGTTGAGTTGGAAAGTTCCGAATTGAGGGGTCCACTGGGAAGACTGGAGGCGGGGGAGGGCGGGAGGGGCTCTGAGATTCTGGGAGCCAAAAGGAGTTGCTCCCTGCCCCCTGCGCGGTCGTGGGCGGCTCTGAAAGCACTGTCCTGACCCGGGCCAGGTCTGCCAAGGAGCGAGAGCGCGCAAAGGAACCAAAGGCACTGAGAGGGAACCACTATGGGGGTGGGGTGAGACTACTGATGCTCTTTTTTTTTGGTGTATGGGGTACTCTTGTCTGCTGAACTGAGGTTGAGTTGAGCCGGCACTGATGCCCAGACTCCTTTTCCTGCAGATGGCCCGGGACTGCCTGAGCCCGGCGGCGGCGGCGGTGGGTCGCGCAGGCTGCGCACCGCATACACCAACACGCAACTGCTGGAGCTGGAGAAGGAATTCCACTTTAACAAGTACCTGTGCCGGCCGCGGCGCGTCGAGATCGCGGCCTTGTTGGACCTCACCGAAAGGCAGGTCAAAGTCTGGTTCCAGAACCGACGCATGAAGCACAAGCGGCAGACACAGCACCGGGAGCCGCCGGACGGGGAGCCAGCCGGCCCCGGAGCCCTGGACGACACAGCAGACCCAGCGGAGGAGCCGGCGATCAGCCCGGGCCGCCCGGCAGCCTCTCGGGCGCTCCGGGAAGCCTGCTTCCCCCCTGCCGAGGTCGCGCAGGGAACCTCGGGCGCACTGGGGCCCGGGCCTTTGGCTGCTCGCTTACAGAGTGTGGGCGCGCCGAGCCCCGGCTGTGCGCTGCGCCGAGTGGGCGGGCTGGAACCCGAGCGGTTGCCCGAAGACGCCTTCCCTGAGCGGCAGGATTCGCCTTTCCTGCCCGATCTCAACTTCTTGGCTGCAGACTCCTGTCTCCAGCTGTCCGGAGGCCTTTCTCCCAGTCTACAGGGCTCGCTAGACAGCCCGGTCCCCTTTTCCGAGGAAGAGCTGGACTTCTTCACCAGCACGCTCTGTGCCATTGACTTGCAGTTTCCCTAACCGTTCTCTTCCCATCCTTTCCACCCAGTCCTCCTTGGCTTTTGGAAAACAAAAACAAAGACAAAAACCGAACCTCCTCCACCCCTAGTCACATTTTACTTATGTGTTTTTGCTAAAATTCAGGTATTCATGAATTAGCGCTTAATTCACTCCCTTTCTCTTTTTAAAACCACCCAGAAAATTCCCATTTGATAAACTCCTCCAACGAAATCTCAGGAATAATTAAAACTCCAGCGGGAGACGGGGGGGGAGGAGGAGGGTTTTCTTAAAAAGAACTAGAGGGACCTATTTTCCTCTTTTTTAAGTTTTAGACTGTAGATTATTTATTAAAATTCTTTAATAATAGGTAAAGGGGAAATTATTTATTGTACATTATTTTCATAGATTAAATAAATGTCTTTATAATACGAAAATGAGTGTTCGTGTTGGGACGCAGCCCTTTTCCCAAGTCTCCCAAAGCTGGCCTTTGCTTCTTCAGGCGCCACTTAAGGTTGGTCGGGGTTCGCCTTCCAAGCAGCAGCAAGGCCCCATCTCCTGTACTGGCAGAGTCCGGGTAGTAGAAAGTGACCCCGCTTGGATGAATTGGTAGCTCCTGGAAGCTTGGTGACCTCTGACCACCAACAATCTTTGCGCCCTGCACGGATGTTACCCCGGCCCCTCTGCTTAGAGATAAAGGTGGGTGGGTGGAACAGATGGGGGTGCAAGAAAGAAAGGGCTCTGGGATAGACTTGGAGTCCTGGCGGAGGCATAGAGGCTGTAACGAATTTAGGAGGGATTCTTGGGCTCCCTTGTTGGCTTCAGGTGCAAAAGCCAGATTGCAACTCTGGGCCCAGGCTTGTGGCCCAGTCCTGGGACGTGCGGAGCTCCTGGGGGCTGTAGGTGGCTTAAGCACCGGGGTTGGGGGTAGGAGTTTTGTCCGGAATCAGGGAAGCCGGGGTAGGTGGGGATGCGTTTGGCCTGAAAGGCAGGAAGGAGCGGCCGGGTGACCGGGAAGCAGGGAAGATGCTCAAAATGGCGCTGGGCCCGACTGCTGGGAGCATGAGGGAGCCGACTGCCATAACAGCGACAGGGACCCGGGGTCCGGCTCCCAGCCTTTCCTCGCCTCTCCACCTCATTTTCTTGAGGCCGGATCTTTCACACTGATGGGAGAAGTCAGCCTGAGAGCTTTCCACTAATGTGTGATTTTATTTTATTTTACTTAAAAAAAGAAAAGAGCCCCACGGATGCTGAGGACTGGAGATGGAAGGAGAGTCCTCTTGGTGTGGAAGGGGAGGGGGAAGCAGCGGCCTTGAGGCCTGCGACTGCTTCACCCACTGTGACTTTTGATCCTTTGCTCTGGGATTTGAAACAGCCAGAGCATTTTCCAAAAGCAGACCCACCTGTCTTGACAATTTCATTTTCCATCTCAACACCATGGTCTACGCCTCCCACTTGTCCCCCTCCGCACCCTTCTCGCTCTTTGTAAACTCCTAAAGAGGGAAGCAAGGATCGATCTTCTCCATCTGCCTCTGGGTTTGTTCTCAGGAACCTGGAGATTTAAGGGGCCCTGGAAAGCCATTCATCCTCCTCAGGTTTATTTAATATTTCTCGGATTCAGAAACATACATACGGCAGGGCTACCTGCCTGGCAGATGCTGCCTTCCTCTAACAGCAGTTTATTTCCTGGGCCTCCTAAACCCAGGACTTGGGTCCTAGCAGGACCAGGTCTTGGAGTATCAGGCACAGAGAGGCAGCAACTGTCAGGCCAAGCCAGGAGCCAAGAGAAGCCATGACACAGAGGACTAGACAGGCCCACTGCATTTTTTTTTTCAATGAGTTCCTCAGTGTGGGAAGTACACACGTTTTATTCAGCCAGGATGTAATCCCTTAAAACTGTCTTAATGTAGAATTCATCTCATGCATTAAATAATCTTATGTCATGTTAAATTGCACTTATTTCTCTCATAAATAAATTAATATAGAACAATTAGATGTGTTATTATAATATCATGTATCTTATTAGTTTATTTTCCCTCATAAAATATATAGGTATGAAATAAATTCAATATATTAAAGTAATAATACACAGCTTATTGGCTTGTGTGTTTATTTTCCCCATAAATAAGTGAATATACAATATATTAAAACCACACTATACATCTCATTGGGCTGTGTGTTTATTTCTCCATAAAATATGTCCACAGGCAGTGTTTAACATCTTTAAAATCACAGCACATAAGCCATCTCTGCACTAGCAAAATGAAAGAGACATATCAGCTGGGGCTTTGATTTCTATGGCCAGCCAAACTAGATAATTTGGTCTAATTAAAAATGTTGTTGCAGCTATAGTAGGCCATTACAAAGATCAAGAACACCAGAAGGATCTCACTAATTACCCACCTTCCAGTTTTCTTTGGCCAAAAGGAGGACACCCTTCATCAATGCCAAAAGTCAGGAGCTGCAGAGAAGTCCCATTATGAGATTGCTGGTCTGTAATACCCAGGGGTCCCTGAGGCTTCAGATCTATAGATCCTAGTTGCTCCATGGCCCAGTGGCATCCCCCTGACCTGAGCTCATTAGAAATGCAGAATCTTAAGTCCCATTCCAAACTTACAGAATCTGAATCTGCAACTTAGCGGATTTCTAAGTGATTTATAGGCACATTAAAGTTTGAGAGGGACTGCTAAATTACAGTGCCACCTTGCTTTCTGTCTTCCTCCATACTTAAGAATTCTTGAGAGTTCGGCCTAGTGATGCACGCCTATAATCTCAGCATTTAGGAGGCTGAAATGGGAGGAAGATCATGAGTTCCAGGTCAACCTGGTCTACATAGTGAGGCCCTGTCTCAGAAAAATGAAGCTGGATGTGGTCGCTTATGCAAAGCTCAGAAGGTTGGGGCTAGAGGATTGGTATTGAGTTTGAGGCTAGCCTGGGTTACACAGTGATTTCCAGTCCAGCCTAGGCTACAGAGTGAGATTCTATCTCTAAAAACTACCCTTGCAAAAGAGGAGGCAGGCAAGAGAGAGGAAGAAGGCAAAAGAGAGGAGGGAGATAGGAGATAGAAAAAGAATGAGGAGGGGGCTGGAGAGATGGTTCTGTGGTTAAGAGCACTGGCTGATCTTGCAGAGGACCCGGGTTCAAATCCCAGCATCCACATGTGGCCAACAACTGGTTCGTAAGGGTAGTTCCAGGGAAGCCAATGCTCTCTTCTGTTCTTGGCAGGCACTGTACAATTCGGGTCACTTATACATATGCAGGTGTAACACTCATACACATAAAATAAAAAACTAAAAATAAACTTAAAAAAATATTTTATTTTTTATGTGTGTGTATTACTTGCATGTAGGTAGGTACACCCGTGTCTTGCAATGCCCGCAGAGGTCAGAAGAGGCTGAGGATCCCCTGGGACTGGAGTTATGGACAGTTGTTAGCTACCATGTGGGTGCTGGGATTCAAACCCAGGTTTATGTAGGAGCACTGACTGCTCTTGCAGAGGACCCGGGTTCGGTTCCCAGCATCCACATGGCAGCTACGAATCATCCTTAACTCCAGTTCCAGGGGAATCCGAAGCTCTCTTCTGACCTCCGCAGCATTGCGGAGCACTCACATACATGCAGGTAATACACTCATACACATAAAATAAAAAAATAATAATAAAAATAAAAAAGAGAGAAAAAGATGAAAAGAAAGAGAAGACAAGCAGCCATTAGTCCATTTTATGTGTTTATTACCTTCCACATCTCCCAGCTCCAATTAGTAGACCAAAGGACAGGTCATTTTAGCTGCTGTCTGAGATTGTATCTGTCCTGCTTTCACCTGCTAAAATGAAGAAAAAAAAATCCAAAAAATTCAGTCTACTTGTTTAGATTCCTGTCTTTCCTCTATGGCCAGGGGAAGAAGTTTCCAATCCAGGAAATTAGGATATCCAGCATTTTCCTTGGCTGATTATTAGAGAAGAGATGGAATTCTGTTTACAGCACACACAGACAGACTTCCTGCCTTTCTCCTTCCCCACATTCGAAAACATACCACCGTTGGTGATACCATAGCAGAATAAAAGGTAATAGTTCCCAGAAGGAAATGACTCCCATCTTTCACTTCCCCTCCCAACTTCAAAATCAAGGGATGCCTGCCAATGTGGAATTCATTCCAATTAGCTGCTCTTCCTCTTTTCATCTCTGGGGTAATTTTATCCACATTAGCCCAAGGTTTCCCAGTTGAACATAGGGAAGAGTGGTTCCTTGGTAGGGCAGCGGACCCCTCCACTGGTGGTAGGCTAGAGGGTAGTGTGAAGCAGGGGTATCACTTGTTCCATCCTGACTGGGACAGAGTTCCTCTTGGGTCAGGACCAACTGTGAGTTGTCTGTTGCATAGACAGGTTATAAATTGGCTGTGGCTGGAGTAGGAAGGTTTCTGTGCAGGCCAGAAAGCTGCTGGTCAGTCTGCCATGCTCTTTAGTGAATTGTTCTTGTAAGAAAAATGGCTCATTAATATTACAGTGAAAGCAAGGACCATTAAGCTGAGGAATTACTTGCAATCATGATAACCCAGAGTCATTTTAAAAAAGTTCACTTATGCCTGAGCAAGTCCCTTCCCCTTTCTAGACCTCAGTTTCTCTATCTGTGAAACAAATGAAAGAATTAAATGTTCCTAATGTAGTCTGCATTAGTATATGCCAAGAATATATTTGTTAATCTTCACAAGTAATGCATTCAAATTTTATTACGGCTGGAGTCGAATGCTTTAAAGTGACTCTTGATGCCTGATAATAGTCTACCTCCACATTTCTGGTGGGACCATTTTAACAAGTTTTCATTTGTATCTTTACACCAACAACCATGCCCCCAATCATTATTTAAATCTTTTCAACAAGCATGTCATTAGATGTAGTGTTTTGTGCCAGGTGTCATGTATTTATTAAATATGAGTATTCAGAAATGTCTTAGCCAAGTTTCTCTCTGGCTTTCATCCTCTTCCATCTTCTCCAACATTTGACTATGTTTACTCTTGTTCTCGTTTAAAAAGAACCACTGAACTCCTTTTGACATGTAGTGTAGTAGACTTTTATTTGGTTACTAGGCAGCAGAGCATAACTACAAATGCTGAGTTTCCCTAAACAGCCCTGCTGAATTCTGCTGTCCACTCTTCAAGATCTCTGAGAAGTATCATTGGCCCTCCTGCATACCTTCCTGAAACGTGCTCTTGATCAAATGCACGTCCTCACTTTGCAGAAGATGGCCTCTTCATCCCTTCATCAACTTCATCCTTTCTGCCTGCTGTGGCCACCATAGCCCAAATCTTCCATGCTCTGTTGACTTCTCTGGCCCAGTTTCCCCCTTCGTCCCCACCCCCAGCTCTCCACTCTCAGTAGTGAAGCAGGGTTTTCACTGCTCCTTCCTCAGAGGAAAGAGAACAGCAAAG